TATAAAATCATTCGGAGTCAGTCTTAAATATATAGGTGACTCCGTTTGTGTCACAACAACAGAACTCATGTTGAGGAGAAGCTCGACCAAACACTTAGAAAAATATTTAGCACCAAATATATATTTGTTTACTTATTTTAAGGAAGATGGCAATCTTCTGGTTTCACATTTTGAGTACTGAAAGCCCAACCCTGATACAAAAAATAGTATTAGTACTGAATGATAATGACAGATTGCATTTCCATAAACGTGCATGATTGAGTTTTTTTTTGCATTCACATTCTCTATGTGAATGGGTATCAACCATGCCATAACACACTACATATTTTGTGTTTACAATTTGTAACCAATCTCAATAATGGTTGTTAAATTTTTAAAATCAAACAATCACAATCAAATCAAAATGAGAATGCACACTCAATTGATTCAATCATTACACTCATTACACTCGTATGAACATGCGAGTAACGAGATTATTATGTGAGCAACGATTTGGTACTTCGAGTCAGGGCTTGTATTCGTTACTCAGTAACGAATACATACGGTTTGCTACAGCTCTAGCGGGGATGCCAAATTCAGACATAGCGGCGTATAGGCAACTCCTTTTAGTGCTGTCGAAAGTGGCTTTCAAGTCGACAAATAGGTGGTGAGTGTCGATTAGGGTTGCCAGATTTTTTTGGCGCGAAATCAGTACATTAGACTTTGTCATGCTATAAAAATCAGTACTTTTCAGTACACTTTTATTCCAAGCAGAATTATGAATGTATGTAGCAATACTTTGAAACGCCAGAGTACTTGTTTTTAATAATATCTTGGTATGGGTAAGGCTTCCTCAAGTGGGCCCCGAATTTACCAAGATTATACTATTATTACCAAGAAAAGTAAAACAAAATTTTGTAACGCAAATAATTTTATTGTATAGTTTAAAGTTTTTAAAATCTGCATCCAAACAAATTTTTTCATTCGGACACTTACTTTCAAAGAAAAATAAAAATTTCCAAAACACTGCAAAAATTTTCAATTGTTGATAAAAAAAAA